TTATTACATCTATTATTCTAATAAGTGTTAGAGATAATATTTCAAAAAGAAAATCTTCTGAGTATTCAAAACCTTGATAAAATAAGAATATCTCATCTAAAAGAAAAGAATTAGCTACTGCTAGAAGAGATTGAAAGAATGATGTAATATCTGATGAAGAGTTCAAAGTTGTCAGAAATGAATATTTTTCAGATATTAAAAGAGCTAAAACAGACTGCTGGAATAAATTTCTTGAAGAAGCATAAGAGAAGGAAGTTTTTAAAGCTTTTAACTATACTAAAACAAGAAGTGTAGCAAAACTTTCAGCTCTAGAATATAAGTTTCAGAATGAATCATATACAGCAAACTCTTTTAAGGAAAAATGTCAAGCTTTTATGAGAATTCTCTTTCAGAACTCACCAGATTCAGATTCAGATTCAGAGAAAGAGAATATATCACTTCTCAACTACATTGATGAAAATGACTGGGAATGGCCTGATCTTACACAAGATGAATTAGAGTCAGCTATCTTCTCAAGTTCTGTTAAAACTGCTGCAGGTCCTGATTCAATTAATCACTTGATTATTCAAAATACATATTCCTACTTAAAGAATGAATATTTTGAGCTCTTTTTCAATCTCTTGAAAAATGAATATCATTCTGAATGCTGGAGAGAAGCCACTGGAGTGATTCTTGCAAAACCTAATAGAAAAACTTCAATTTCTAAGTCATATAGAGTAATATCTCTATTGAACTGTCTAGAAAAGGTTTTAGAAAAGATAATAGCTACTTAACTATCTTTTATAAGCTCTATAGATGATTCTCTTTTATTCAGTGAACAAATGAGAGATAGAAAACAGTGTTCTGTAATTAACACTGTTCTCTCAGTTGTTCATAATATTCAAATAGCAAAGCATGAGGGTCTGGTCTCAACTGCAGTTTTTATTGATATAAAAGAAGCATTTGATCATGTTTCAAAGTCAAAGTTAATTCAGACATTGAAGATATTAAAACTGCCACTTTCTCTAATAAAATGAGTTAACTGTTTTATATCTAAAAGAATTATACAACTCTTCTTTGATGAAATGAAACAAGACAAGACTGAGATAAAAATAGAAGTATCACAGAGATCTTCAATCTCACTCATTTTATTTGCAATATACTCTGCATATCTATTCAAAAATAGAAATATGAGAATAGTGTGATCTTCAAGTTATGTGGATGATATTAGTCTAGTCTACAGCTCAAAAACTATCAAAGAGAATTTGAAAGTAATTGAAGAAGCTGCAAAGGAAATCTTTGTTAGAGCAGATATCAATCAAATTCAATTTGATATGAATAAAACTGAGTTAATTCATTTCTTTTCTAGATTCAATGAGAAAGAACTATCTCTAACTCTGTTAAATAGAGAGATTAAACCCAGTGTAAATGTCAAATGATTAGAAGTATGGTTAAACTCCAAGTTGAATTTTAAATATCATATTCAACAAAGAACTGTCAAGGCAGAAAGACTATTGAACAACATAATCAGACTATCAAATACAGAGAGAGGTCTATCCTTCCAGGCTATGAGACAGTTATATATAGCCTGTATTACATCAGTAGCTGATTATGGAGTTCAAGTTTGATGAAATAATCAAGAGAATTTCACTGAACTCTTTCAAAGTCTGCAAAACAGAGCCTTGAGAAGAATTCTGAGAGCATTCAAATCATCTTCTATTAAAGCAATGGAAATTGAAGCTTCAATTTCTTCTCCTGCTATTAGATTTGAAAAGGCCTGTATGAACTATGCTCTGAGAGTTGTAAAGATGAGCTCAAATCATATAATCAGAGAAAGAGTCTCTTCTTCATTTTCATCAAGTAACTCTGGAAATGAACTGGATTGGAATAGATTTCTTGATTGAAATGAAAATAATTCTTCAAAGAAAATGTCTTCTCAACTGTACAGACTATGCTCTCTGATTAAAAATCAATTTTCTTCTTTAAATGTTGAAAAAGTTGATCATGAGAAGTTATCTCTCTGAAGAAAAAAGCTTGAATCTCTTATAGACTTATAAATAAGAAAACTATCAAAAGAGAAAGCATATGAACAGCATTTGAAGAGAATTTCTACAATCAATATAAAAGACTCTATTCTGATTTATTCAGATGACTCAAAAAATGAGAACTTGAATAGATTAGGCACAGGCATTGCTTATACTGAAGATAATATTAATTTTATCTCAGATTTCTGGAATCTAGGCTCTGAATGTGAAGTCTTTGATGCTGAACTATTTGCAATAGTGAAAGCTTTCAAACTCATTGAAATAAAATCTTATAAAAGAGGAAATTGTTTGAAAGAGGTATGAATATTCTCTGATAGTCAAGCTGCTTTAAAAAGACTTAGAAATAGTCAGATTCATAATGATTAAATGAATCTTGAACTGATCTTAAACTCTGTTTTAAAAATTCAAAAGAGAAGAACATCAAAGCTGAGAATTCATCTGCACTGAGTTCCTGCTCATATGAATATTCATGGCAATGAATTGGCTGATTCAGCTGCAAAAAAGGGTGCAGAATTAAGCAGATCTATTCAAAAAATTGTGTCCTAGTCTTTTATAAAGAGAAAAATAAAAGAATCTTGTTTAGACAAGTGAAATGAAAGCTGGCAGAAATAAAAGAAGAGTATATATTATTCAAGATTTGAAACAAAACCCAAGTGGAAATCTTGTTCAATTAAATGTAAAAAGAAAATATTCTCATCTATAATACAGCTGAAACTAGGACATGGCTATTTCAAATCTTATATACAAAGATTTGATGATAGATTTGACTCAATAGAATACTCATTCTGCAATACAAATGAGAATCCTGAGTATATTATAATGCACTGTGCATTATACAATAGTCTCAGAGCCAGATTGAAAGAGAAGTATGATCTAAATCAATTAAATATGAGATTCTTATTCTCAACTGAGACAGGAATTAAATACTTAATAGACTTTCTATCAGAAACTCAAGCAGCTATAAGAAAATGGCTAAATTCAGAATTATCTGAATATGAAGAGGAGGAAATCAATCAGATATAGTCTGTTAAAACAGCTATACACTCTCTTTTAATAATTTGTTTTGTTATAGTCTCTCTTTACTTTATCTTTTTCTGTATCTTTTTCTTTCAATTTCTTTCTATCTATCTATTTAATGTGTCTATTCTTGAGACTGTGTTCTTTCTCTCTTTTCTTTTGTCATGATATTGTCAAATGGTTTCAAAGTATCAAAAGATGTTAAAACACTGTAATTTGTAAACAGTTTTTGTATTCTGAGCTGGAATTTTCTGATTTTACATATCTGAAATTGATGAATGTACAATAGTTAACTTTACAGACATAGAAAAAACCCTAAGAACTAAAGGTCTCAGGTAGATGTCATAGTCTCTGACTGCATACATCTATAATTGAAGAATAATAATAATAATAACTTCTCTGTCTCTGAAAAAGAAAGTGATTTTACAAAGTAACAATTTCAGCATAGTGTTAAATGTCTGCAATACTTAGCTGTCAAGCTGCAGCTGAATATTGCCTGTGCAGCATCTCTACTGACACAGAAGAACACTACTCTTATCTCTAAGATGTGAAAGACTCTATTACATGTCATTTGATATTTGAAAGAAATGTGTGAGATTGACATATTCTATGGGAAGAATGATGATGAGAAATCTGAGAATGAATTTCTAAACATGGTATACATACTGATCAGATATACAGATTTCAATTGAGTCAGCTTATTGAATGATGATTATAAATCTACATTCAGTTATATCTTCAAATTGAGAAATGTGCTAATTTCATGACAATCAAATAAGCAACTCTGTGTATTCTTAAGCTCTAATGAGGCTGAATATATGATGTTGAGTGAAGCTGTATGTGAAGTAATATGATTGAGAAGTATAATAATGAATCTAAGCTTTATTGAAACAGAAGACTCTCTGCCAATCAAGACAGATAATCAGAGATGATTAATTTTATCACAGTGACTGCAATCATTATAAGAAGCAAGTATATTAACATCTGATTTCATTACACTCACAGTCAGTTGAACAATGATATAATCTTAATTGATTACATCTCAACTGAAGAAATGACAGCAGATAAATTAACTAAACTCTTAAGTATAATTGCATTTCATTAATTCCTTGATTTACTAGGTTTTACAGGTGAAGAGAGACAGAATACACAAACTCAATACAGATAGAATGATTTGAATAAATTTGAGAATAATATTGTGATTCAAAGGTTGCTTAAGCCAGCGTACAATTACAGGCGTACGCCGGCTTCTTATATTGTAGTCTTGTACGCTAAATTAATTAGCATACACTATGGCCCCTTTACACTTATACACATACACTAGTAGTTCGGAAGCGGCTGTGTTATTATCTGATGATTGTACATTCTTCTGAATCACATTCTCTTTCATCAGATTCAGTCACACTCATGTGATCATGTTGTACATCCTAGCTTCATGTGAATTAGCTCGCCACTAGTATCTTATGATTGTGTGACCTATCTCTAATTCAGCTAGCATTCTGTGTACACTCTCACAAAGAAACTTTCACTATATTATATCACTCATTCACTAACTTTTCTCATTCTTCAATTATCATCTTCATCATTATCATCATCAAATGCTATTATCTCATTTAAGATTTCTACTTCTTCTTCTATTCAACTCTTTTCATCTGTTCATCTATTATATCATATGTGTTCCTGGTGATGACCTCTCATTCTCATAATAAGCATTCTTGTAGTGCTCATACCAGGCAGTTCATTAGCAGTAAGTGTAACACATTGTGGAATGTATATGATCAGGACTTGTTTATCTTCTAATAATTGCTAGAATGATGTATTATCATGAATGATGACACATCTTCTTCACCTTCTTATATGCTCTTGACTGTTTCTTCTTCTCAGTGAGTTTCTGATCATGTTTTCTGACACAATTTTACATGAATGCAGATGCTGATATGTTTATTTTTATTCATATAGAATTGTCACATATTGACAGATTCATGTCTGTCAATGATAGTGAACTCAGTGTTGAATCATTGATCAAGAACTTGAAGAACATGATAATGAAGAAATTGTCTGTGTCATGTATGACTGAGTCTTCAGTGTTTCTCCCTGCTTCTTCTGTCACTTCTTTCCCTGCTGCTCTCTCTCAATCTTCTACACTTGCCTCTGTGTCTGGTTCTCCTGCTCCTGCTATTTCTGTTCCTGCAACCCCTACTTCTGCTACTCCTGATTTTGTCACCTCTGCCTTTCTTACTAGCTCTCCCCATTTCAAGAAGATGTTGCATAGGCTCAGTGAATCACATTTCTCAGCATGTACACTCTCACTCTTCTTACTAATTCCTAGAACAATTTATTATACAAAGACTGTATATAACATAACTATCTGAAGCTCAGTCATAGACATCAATTATTATATTTATTTTAAATATTTATGATGAAGTAATTATTCATTCATATCAGAGAATCACTCTCTCTCTCAACAGTGTTGAGATTGTAAGTCTTTTTTCTTTTCATCTTTTCTTTCTGATGCTGATTTTTCTGTTCTTAGAAGAAATTATTATAGGTTTTACTGTGTATGAAGTTATGATATTCACAGACATCAAGAAACTTTTTACAACTGTAAAATTCAATATCATAGAGATATTCACTCTGATGAATTTCTTTAAGATAATAGATCTGTATTAGTCTATTCTCTGATATCTGTCATCTGACTTTGTGATGCAGGCAAAAGATATCTGTGTTTTCAGAAATGAAAATACAGATGTCATACTCTTTTACACTTACAGATGTGAGACTTGTATGTCTTGTCTGAGATGTTGTCATAGAAATGAGCTGTTTGCACACTGCATTCTGCTTTCTGTATTTCTCTGTGTCTCTCTCTCTCTTTCTGAGAAGCCTTGTGCACGTTGCAATTATGTGTACAACTCTAAGACTAGTGAGTATTCATTCAGTAACTGTTCTCATCTCTGATTTTATACTTTTCATATACTAACAATGATTCTTAGTTACTCTGATGTCAGAGATCATTCTGATCAAAGATGATAACATCACTGAGACTACTCTCTCTCACTCTTAAGCTTCTTCTGTCACTTTCTCTTCCTTCTCTGCAGAGAAGATTGTGTGTACACTAGATTATAAGTGTTCAGCTCTGAGTGATTCCTGCTGTTATTCATCTGATTCTGTGTCTTCTCCTTCTTCTGTTTCTTTCACCTTCATCTTCCCTGCTCTGGCTCCTGGTTCTGCAGGTCTCATGCTCTTCTTCAATTTCTCTATGCATATGCATACACATTTCTATATTGGCATTTCAGTCAATCTTGTGATAAATGACATTAATGTTGTACACAGAGCAGTAGAGAAATCAGAGACATGTACAGCATTGTTGTAAGAGCAGCTTACAGCTCTCAAATCCCTTACAGATCTCAAGTTTTGAGATTTTCTTTGTTTTTTGACATTTTTCAGGTGATGTGATGTTGGAAATAGATTAAACATGTGATGTATGAAAATGAATGAGATGTGTATGATAATATTTGTCTTTTGCAGCTGACTCTTACAGTTGATGATCAATTCATTATCTCTTTTCTTACACTTTTTCTTTATCTGCTAGTCACTACTCTTACATGACCTCTATATAATACAGTATTCAGTGACTAGGTTCAGCAGCTTTCAACTTTTTGTGATTCTGTCTCATGCATTATACTGTCTCTCTTCACCTGCTCAGATCACTACAGTGAACAGCTCATCAAAACTAACCTCATCTGATCTCTGAGCATCTTCAGAGATTGAGATAACTTGGTCTCACACATTCATGAATGTTTCAGATAGTTCATTCTCTGTGATCTCTGCAATTGAACTGATGTAAACAGTCAAATTCAACTCTGAATTTCTTTTTCTTCTGTAATCTGACTCATATACAAGTCTGCTGCTTTGAGACCACTCTTTATTACATTGCATCTGCTGTCTGCAGCATGTTATCATATAATCAGCTACAGTCTCATCACTTATTGAAGTGTGACATTTATCTGATTTCTTCATTTCTTCTCATTCTTTTCTTATAATTATGAAAAGATTGAAATAAGTGAGATCATCTGATTTGTAAGTGTCTATGATTTCTCTTACTTTATAAGACTTTTTAATTGTAAGTCTCTTCTTTTTCAACACTGATGATAGTGCTGTGAATAATTATAATTCACTTGAGTCTTACATCTTTGCTTTCATAAGTTATAAATCATTGAATAAGTTATATAAGACTTATCTCTCTGATTCTTTCAATACATACATTCTCAGAAAATGTGATTTGAGTATCTTATATGACTTAAATCATCTAGATTAAAACTTCTCAGAACTCTCATTGCATACAAGAACTCATGTTCTCATCTTGAGACTTGATTTCTTAATAAGTGAGTCTTGTATTCTTTTCAATTGAATTGCTTGATTCAGGAGTAACTTATTAGCTTTTGCACATGTGTGGCTGATCTCTTTCAATCTTGGTTCCGCGTCCGCGACTGTTGCATCCGCAACTGCTGTTCCTGCTGCATTCACAACTGCTGTTCCTGCTGCATCCGCAACTGCTGTTCCTGCTACATCTGCAACTGCTGTTCCCTCCCTCACCTTTTTTGAAGCATTCTCCGGGATGCGCGGATGCAATTCATACAACAGGTAGAATGGTGAATGCTTAGTAACTGCATACTGCCGGATTCACATGACTAATAGCACCTGACTGAGATATTCATTTCATAATCTTGTAGACTTGCTCACTAGATATTTCATCAGCATATTGCTCAAGATTTCATTCAAGTGTTCCATCTTTCTGTTCATTCACAGATGATATGGCATTGTTCTATAATGTCTTGTCTGTAACTGGCTCATGAAATGCCTTATCACTTCTTCTACAAGGTTTGCACTGTTATCAGTTAGAATCTCACACAGCATTTCATAGTTGATATAGATCTCATTATATAGAAACTTCATCATCATCTTCTCTATCATCTCTGAAACTGCTTTTATGACTGATCAGTCAGTAGTGTAATCAATAGCAGTGATTATTCATCAATTTTCATTTGATATTTACAGTAATATGTCTATGAGATTCATCTCTCATTATTTGAACAGTTGTATCATATATTTCATCTGATATTGTACTTTCTTGTATTTCAATCCTTTCTTAGATTCTTTCATGACCTGGTAATTCAGACACTCATGAGTGTACATCTGAATGTTCTCAGCCATGCTTGGTCAGTATACTCTTGATTTGAGTACACTCATGAGTTCAGAGCTTTCTAAGTGACTGAATTCCTTGTGCATATAAGTCATCAAGTCACATCTAAATAAAGATTCTAGATAGAGAGCTTCTGCATATTCTAAATTGTAATAAAGCATAATGTTGTTTTTCAATTTCTTCAGCTTGAAGTTCAGAAGCATCTCTTCTACTACTTTCATAAAACACTTATCATTCAACATCTTGTCATTCTTTAAGTGAGAGATTATAGCATTTACTCATTCTGATTTCTTGCATTCTCTCAGCACATTTAACACAAACATTTCTTATATCTGATTCACAGAACTCTTATTCATGAAATCAGATCTGTGACTGATTGTGTTCAGTATCACTGCATTCAATTCTTTTCAGTATTTGATATGAAGATTGTACACTTGAAACTCTGAGATTCAACATACTAAGTGTTTGAAAGATTTTATTATTAATTGTAGATAGACAAGACTTTCATGATCTGTGATCACTGTTATTGTATACTCATTGTCAATATATCTATTTCACAATGCCAGTGTGTGCTTGATCACTAGCAATTTCTTTTCATACACTGAATAATTGAGCTCAGTACTCAATAGTTTCCTATCATTATATATCACTGAGTGCAGCTTGTTATTCTTGCTCATCTGTAGAAGAACACCTCTGATAGCTCATTCAGATGCATTCATCTCAATGTAGAAAGATTTATCATGATTTGATTGAATAAGCACTGAGAATGTTATTACATATTCTCTCAGTGTGAGAAAAGCCTCTTCACATGTAGCATTTTAGATAATTGAATGAAACTTCTTCTTTCACAGATTTGCATTCATTTCTCTTAAGAGATCTGAGAGTGATGCAGATATTCATACAAAATCCTTGATGAATCTGCAGTAGTATGAGATTAACTCAAGAAACTGTCATATATGATGTATATTTCTCAGCCATGATTAATTCACTATGACATTCAATTTCTCTGAAATGAGATGTATACAGTCATCACTTACTATATATTCTACAAACTTCAACTCTTCTATTTCAAACACACACTTGATTGATTTAGTATAGAGCTTATACTCTGTCAGAGTTGTAAGCACTTTATTAAGATACTTCAGATGTTCATTATATGAGTTTGAAAAGACTAGAATGTCATTGTGATATATAAGATATGAGGTTTCATTCTGTTTATGAAGAATTGTATTCATCATCATTTGAAAGATGACAGGTGCATTTGTCAGACTGAATGATATTATCAGGAATTCAAACTTTTCTCATTATGTATTAAATGCAGTTCACAGAACTGACAGTTCATCTACATGAATTTGTCAGTATTCTGAGAGAAGATCAATCTTCAATAGATATCAGGTGTTTCTGACTATATTCAACTGTTATTGAATCTGTGACAGTGAATATTCATTCTTGATTATAAGCTTGTTAAGTACTTGATAATTGATATATATTCATCACTCTTCACTCACCTTTTTCATGAATAGAACTGAAAAGTCTCACATGCTTGATGAGAGTTGTATGAGATTATATTCTAGAAGGTCTGTGATCTGACACTTCTGTTCTTTGAGATGCATTTGTGACAGAGAGTATACATTCTAGTTAACTGGTTTTGCATCCTCTGTGTCAATCTCATGTATAAATCCTCATTTCAGTGACAATTCTGATGAAAGATCTGTTCAGAAGACCTTTCTATACTTCTTCAGAAGCTTCTTCATATACTTATTCTTCTGCATATTCTTTATCTTGGTTTCCTCTGCTTCCAGGTTCTGTATGACATACAGAATGCTTTCAGATGAGATCTTGTGAATTATTCTCTTTACTTATTGATGTGTAAGCAGATTTAATTCTTCTATATCAGAGACATGAAATGTTCTTCTTATATCAGTTGATAGAATCATATGAACCATTTTTTTTCTATCAGTCAACTGTATATAGCATGTACATCATTGAATCTGTGGATTGAACCTTTGAAATTAATCAAGTCTGAGAATAAGATTGTATTCCATGTTCTGCAGCTCTCATGCTCAAATATAGCAAGATCATTCTTCAAAGTGCAAGAGAACTCTTACTCTTGCAGGTGATATCAAATATCAGTTATCAGATAATCTTATATATCAGAGATTCTTCACTCAGTGAACCTCTTTCAATCTTCAGATTATATAATTATCAATATATTATGTTGAAGCTTCTGTGTCTACTAACACTTTTGCAGTCATCTCTCAATTCTTATTCAAGTGCTTCTTATACATTAACATTTCAGGCTTCAAAGTATTGAGATGAGTATTCACTTCATCATTCTCACTCACATCTTATTCAGAAGCCTGCTTCTTCTTTGCATTTACAGGATTCAGAGAGTCATTTAATGTGAGTATCTCTTTCATCTTAAAGGCTTTTCATAGAATATCAGTGAGTGTCTCTGAGCTCACTGATTCTGCTAGTTTTTTGACTCTCTTGCTTCTCTTGACTGTGCATGCTGAGTGTAATCTTTTATATCATGATTTTAATGTCTGCAGTTGAAGCAAGCTTGATGCTTGTGACATCAA